CTCAAGAGGAACATAAATTCTCCAGTAAATAGTGCACCTCTCTCTCTTGAGAGAGGACCTACACTCTATTTTTTGAGTGTGTACCTTTTAATTTCTTTTCTTTTCTTTTTTTGGGTACTAGAGATCGAACTCAGGACCTTGCACTTGTGAGGCAGGTGCAGTGCGGTGACGCTGAGCTAAATCCCCAGTTCCCATGAATTTCTGATAAATCCTTGCTGAGTCTCTCACAGAAGTGTCTTGAAAGTTCATTTTCTGTAGCGGGAGCCAGCGAGCCTGCTAACCTATGTTATGGGCAGGTCAGCTCGGGGCAGGGCAAGTCCCTTCTCTCAGCTGTAGGGCTCTCCTGGGACCCTGTCCACGGACACAGTGGCCTCCTCTTGGGGAGCCAAGAGGTGAGGAGGCGTCCGTCCGGGTGGTGACTGCTGTAAGCCCAAACGAAGGCTTTTTGGTTTTTGGGGTTTTTTTCCTTCCCCACTTCTCCCAAATCTTTGGCCCCCAAAGCATAGCTTATTTTTCTCTCTTTTCCCCCTCTCTTTCTCTCTTTCCCTTTCTACAAACCTGTGCAGCCCTATTTTCTCCTTTTCAGCAGAGACTCCCACGTCCCTAGAAAAAAGAGTGCTTCCATGCAAAAGTACCAGAGTTAAGAGGCTGGGTGCTCTCTGTGACCTGGAACAGCCTCATCAGGTGCTCAGTGTACCCCATTCCTGGGTGAGATGGAGCTCACATCTACTCACCTAGGGACACATGTGAGGATAGAGCCATGCAGCAGGCCCCAGAAACCCAGTGACCAGACATCCTGGAGAAAACCTGCCTGGGGTGACAGCGAAGAAGCCCGCCCCTTAAATCCCACACATCGTAGGTCCCCATACTTTAGCTAAAAGGAGATCCTCTCCCGGGGATTTAGCTCAGTGGTTCCAGCGCCTGCCTCACAAGCACAAGATCGCAAGTTCGATCCCCGGTACCAAAAAAAAAAAGAGTTGTAAAAGGAGATCCTGATGCCATGCCTCCCTTTCTGGGTGGCTAGGAACAAGTCCAGAACCCTGAAGGTTCCAGTGGCCATTCAGCGATCATGGGTGCTGTCCACAGATGTCATAGGTGCTATGGACTCAAACCAAGGAACCCCTCCCAGAACCCTCCCCGTTTTGTCCCTTGTCTCCCACCTGTGGCTTCCATCTGTCAGAAGACTCATATCCTTTAATTTTTGATATTAGTTAGTGGGGATATTAGTTAGTTAGAGCTGAGGGGGAGGGTCGGCAGGAGCTGGGGAACTCGAACATCTTCTCATGGTCCCAGAGAGAGTTATTGCCCCTCTGCCCTCCTTCTGTGTCCCACGGGAGGAGAGGCCGAAGTCTTTGTCGCTGGCCAGCACCACCTTTCTGGGTCCTTGGCCACTTGGCCAGGCCTGCGTATAGGTCCTTTGCTGTGGGCTCATGGAGTCGCTTCTCTAATGCTAGCTTGCTTCCTCCCTCCACCTTATTTGATTGTGGCATCTTTGTGAGAATTTTAGCCTTCAGCGTATCTCCCTATCAAAAATGGTGTACGATTTATAGTTGCTAAGTGGCATCTCTGGACTTGACAAACCCTCTATGAGTTCCTTGAATGTCCATTGTTTTCTGTGTACAATAACTTAAGATTTTTTCCTTGGTTAAAGATTTTATATATAAATATAACCTGTGATCCCAGCACTCAGGAGGCTGAGGCAGTAGGATCCCTGCAAGTTTGAGCCTGCCTGGGTCAGTCAACTCAAGGCCAGCCTGAACGAAAAAGCAAGACCCTGTCTCAAAAACAACAACAAGGGCCAAGGATTTACCTCAGTGGTGCCATGCCTGCCTCGAAAGCCCAAAGTCCTGAGTTTGATCCCCAGTATAAAAAAAAAAGCAAACCAACAGTATTTCCATATAGGTATGATGCCAGCAATTGCTAAGCTCTTAGTATATTAAATACATTTATATTCCCCAGGTGTATGAGTCCATTAAAATATAGAATTTAAGAGATCCTCCAGTGGGCTAAACATGGCGTCTTCGTTGGTTGTTGGTGAGCTTCTGGTGCGTGTCCTGGGGCCTGGCGGGGAGCTAGAGTCAGAGAAGCTACCCCGGAAGCTGTGGGCCGAGCTTGAGGATGCTCTGGGGAAGAAGCACACGAATGTTGACAGTCCCACTGGCCCCGAACGCTTGGTTTCCTTTCGTCTGATCTGGGATCGGCACCAGTATCTCAGAGAAAGCAAACCCAGTTAGTGGCCTGACTGGAAAAGATGAAGATACATCTGGCCAATGAGGAGTATAAGCGGGTCACTCGTCATGTCACCTGTCAGGGTTCGAGGCACGGCAGGACTCTCGGTGACTTGGGAGAGCAAGTGAGATCGGTGAAGCCTCTGGTCATCACCGTCTTCAACTTCATTGTGACGGCTGCAGCTGCATTCATCTGCATGTACCTTGGAAGCCAGTATATCTTCACAGAAATGGCCTCTCGGGTGCTGGCTGCATTAACTGTCGCCTCAGGGGTGGGCCTAGCTGAGCTGTATGTCATGGTGCGGGCAGTGGAAGGCAAGTTGGGAGAGCTGTGACAAGTGCTTCATCACCAGAGTCTGCAGAAGGTTTTTGGATCGTCAGTCTCCCAAGTGCCAATCACTGACCCGGTCAACCTGTGAGGCTTCTTGTACTCAGCTCTAGTTAATCAGAGGACTAAACCAGGCCACCTGCTGTTTCTGTGAGGAGCCCCATCTTCTGTAAATTTCCAGAATGAGCAGTGGAGGAGGATGATACTTCTTTTAAACTAAAAAGAACTGGTATCTTAGTATCCTGAACCCATTGCCCATCTGCCTCCTTCAGTCCATCCTGAACATTGCTGGGACTGGGGTTTCTCCATCAGGAGTAAATGGAATCCAGGACTCCCCAGAAGACAGACCATACTGCCTCGAACTTGTCCTAGTGCACACGTCTTTGGTGCAGGCTGGTAGGTGAGAGCAGGAGGGAGAGAGGCTCCATCTCTCCAGTCTTTGGTGCAGGCCAACAATTGAAAGAAGAGGCCTCCAAGGAAGGAGAAAAGGGCTGCATCTCTCCAGTCTATGCTGGAAGGGGAACTGATTAGGGAACAGAGATCCAATAAGAGAAAAATGGGTTGGTACAGGATAGTGGAACTGGAAGCCAGGCAGCTACCACTTGGGAAAGGGGAATGATATTGACCCCCTTTTCCAGAAGACAAAACAGACCCAGAGGTTATTAACTATCTGTGATCCTTCCTCTGGTAAATGGAGCCAAAGACTCCTACATTGTCTGGATGTCTCTGTGTAATATTAAACTTCTGAGAATTAAAAAAATAGAGAGAGAGAATTTAGGAGATCATCTTACCACACAGGTGACCCTGAGCAGAATTGTTTATAATGAAGACTTTCAGGCTTATGTTTGTTATGTTAAATATGATTGTTATGGAATTGTATGATGATAGTTAGATGTGCCTAAACAATATGCAGTCCAGGTAGTGTCACTCTAAAGATTAAAGGTTGGGCGTTAGAGGGGCATGGTGGAGCACACCTGTGATCCCAGCACTCAGGCGGCTGAGGCAGGAGGATCACCATGAGTTTGAGGCCAGCCTGGGCCACACAGTGAGTTCAAACCCAGACTAAACTACATAGTGAGACCCTGTCTCAAAAAAGTCCCCCCCAAGAAATTTTATAACTTTTATCTGTTAACATTCTATAGAATAAGCAGATGTTAAGGTGATAGGCCATCACCCACAGTGCAGGTAGAATAGGACTCCTAATATTAAAATGACCTCGATTAATAGGAGAGCTTGCTGCTCTCTAGTCAAGTCATACTCTACATTTTGAAGTCACAGATCTCCAGATAAGATTATACCATAGCTAAGTTTAAAGCCTGCTGTTCCCACTTCAAGACGGGTGCAACTGACCTTTTAGGTGTTTAGAGTTGAGCCTTGGAGAAAAAAAGGTCAGGAAGATAACTGGGCTACGAGCACCCAGGACATGAGGGGACCTCTCTAAAAGGGTCCTACAACTCCAGTGAGTCACGCAACCTCCCAAGCAGGGAGACTGTGGGACTCCAGCAGGCAGGAGTCATCGGGGTGCATTGTGCTAAGACCACGACCCATCCTGGCAGATGACACAGCTGGTACAAGAAAAAACCAGAGAAGGTAAGAGGCTCTGCACATGGCCCCAAAGCAGCTCCTTCACCCCTGAGTGACTTAACTGACCTTGATTTATAGATATATTAACATAGGTCTTGGTCTTCAATACCCAACAGGAAAGTATCACAACAACAAATATATATATATGAGAGAGAGACAGAGACAGAGACAGAGACAGAAATAGCAATGTTAAACAACAAGCCAGGATAGATATAAAAAGGGGCTCCAAACTGCACATCTCCGGTTGGCAGGCTGTAGCTGCCCCTATAATTTAGAGCCCTAAGAAAGCTATCTCTTGAGTGTGCACCTTGGAACTTCTGCCTAACGAGCCCTTCCGGAGTCTCTCACTGACGCGTCCTGAACTCTTTCTGCCAGGGGACCAGCGAACCTGCACAACCACCCTGTGGGCCAAGCAGGTTAGGCTCCTCGCTGTAGCCTTGGGCGTCTGTCAGACCTTGCCCGGTGACAGCTCCGCATTCTCCCTCCAGTTCGGGACCCCAGAGGAGCCCGGTCTCCCCGCTGACCTCCAGGTACCTGAGCCCGAGACCATGAGGGGTTCGAGAGCGGGCTGGGCCCCTGCGCGCCGAGGAGCTGGGGCTGCGGCCCCGGTGGGCGCAGGGACAGAGGCGGGGCCAGGCCGGGTGCCGAGTCTGGCGAAGCCCCCGCGCCTGCCCGGCCGGCGGTTAAATTTACCCGAGCTGACTCAGCCTTTGCCCGGAATGGGGGGGGGGGGGCGGGGGCGGGGACGCAGGCCAGGAGGCAGCTGGAGGCTCCCGGAGGAGAGGGGGCCTCCCCCCTGCACCGAGCGGGAAGGCACAGGAGCCGCGGGCGGGCGGGGAAAGGAGGACCCGGAGCCGGGAGCCAGAGCCAGGAAAGCTTAGATTTATTGAGCGCCTACTGTGTGCCAGGCACTGTGCTAGGCGCTGTACATACATTACTGCATGAGATCCTCACAACAACCCTGCGAGGTAGGTGTTTATAAACCCCCATTTGACAGATGAGGAAACTGAGGCTCAGGGAGGTGAAGTGATTTGGCCAAGTTCACATGGCTAGTAAAGGGCAGAGACAGAGGAGGTGCCCAGGATCAGACCAAAAAACCCCAAAAAGACTTCAGGGCGCTCTCCCGGCCGATTGGCGTGGATGCGTACAAGGAGGGGTTCGTGCGCTCCAGAGGTCTGGGAGGCTGGAGGCCTACTCCCGGCCCGCGCGGCTGGAGATGACACGGCGGGGGACAGGCGCGCGGAAACTGGGACTCGGATTCACTGACAGAGCCCGGATGGGGGCGGGGGGGGGCGCTCTAGAACTAGCAGCGGGGGAAATCCGCGACCTGCGCGCGCCCCTCAGTGGCCACAGCGAGCACCACACCCCACACCCCGGTTTCTTGGGATCAGCCTCCTTCCTCGCCTGGTGGGATTCTGGAAGAGGCAGAGATGCAGAAATTCTCAGGGTTCTGTCAAATGTTACCTGAGTAGGAAATCGTCGTAACGCTCCAGAGCATCACTAAAGGACACGAGGGTGGAGGAAGAGGGGAAGGCCTAAAGAGGTCCCAAGCTGATTCATTGGCTGCCTTCCCTCCCCAGCTCGGACCACCACAGGCCAGGGACAGTGACAGGGCTACTACCTACCCTCCCCTGGGGAGCCCTCATCTAGACCTGAGGGACAGGGATAACAGCCCTTTGTCCCCTCAGCTCTTTTACAAAACCTGCTGAATTGAGAATAGGTGCAGGTGACAAGGAGGTCACCTGAGGAACCTTCAGATTCTTTTCACTTATTCTCAACTTTCTTTGTGGCTTGACGAGAGGAGAATTAGCTAGACCCCTTCCCAACAATCCCCAAACTCCAGGGATGGAAGGGTGGACCACAGAAGCCCTCATATCACATACCAGGGGGCTCTGGAGGCCTGGAGAGGGAAAGCGACTGCTCTAAGGCTGACCATCAAGTCAGTGGCAGAGTTGAGATTAAAACTCAAGACTTGAGACCCTCAAGTGAGCCCTCTTCCTGCTTTTGCTGGTTGTTTCAGACCCATTCCATTCATCCTGTGTCAAGAGTCCCTCTGGCACCTGGTCACTCCGTCACGAGGTCCAAAGCTTCTCTATCAGTTTGCTCCTTGTGCCCACAGGCCCTGCCCTGCCCCTGCCCTGCCCCTGCCCCTGCCCTCTTGCCTGGTTCTGGCCAGCTCTCTGCTCACCAATGCAGCAGTCCGCGCTGAAGACCTCACCCTATGCCCTGAAGGTAGCAGGCATTCAGTCTACTGTTCACCCTCACCCCTCCAAAACAAAGCCGGGATTGGACACGTGCTCCCTTTCCTTTTAGTTCTATTTCAAGTTAGGAATAGCAATAGGTAGGGAAACAAGGAAATAAGAAGTAAAGGAAATCTGTGGGGGAGAAATCTGTGGAACCTGTGGGCCCAAGGAAGGACAGATAAGTCGGGAAACACAGAGACAAGAAGGGGCCCCTCACTGCCTCTCCCTACTTCCCTGTGGGGTGCCCTTGGTATCCCTCTCTGGGAAGAGGGCCTGTTCGGTTTGGCTGATGACATCTAGAATCTCCCGGATGCTGCTGTTCAACTCAGCTGTCTTCCCGCCTTCCCCAGGCTGGGTGTCGCCAGCCACGGGCAGGGTCCTCTCATTCCGCCAGGAGGCGCCCGGGGCTTCTGTGTCGCTTCCATCAGAGGAACCGCTGTGGATGCTGAGCTCACCTTCGTCTGAGTCTGAGTCTGGGGCGGTGTGGCGGCGGATGCGGGACACAGCTTCCCGCAGGGCTCCGGCATAGGGCCCGGGGGTACGTGCCCAGCCCCCGCCCACGGGCCGCGGGGCAGCCGCCAGTTTCGAGCCCCTCACGCTGCCCGCGTCCGCCGGAGCCGCAGGGCCTGAGGCTGCGCGCTCTGGGATACCTGGCGGCACGGCGGCGCACGGCAGGTTAACTTCGCCGACCAAGAGTCCCAAGACGGGGGACGCGCGCTCCTCCAGTGAGGAGTCCTCTGGCTTCCCGCCCTTGGCTTTGCACCCGTGCCCCGCGCTGGGCTGGTGCAAAAGACGACTGCTCAACAGCAGCTTCTGGCAAGCGGAGGGAAAGCCTAAGGCCCTCTCGCCCTCCTCCTTGCTGCCCTTGGGTTGCCCGGGACCATGGCCCACGATGCGTGACTCCCCAGACGGCAAAAGCTGCACCTGTTGGGTTCGCGGAGCCGGAACATACTGGGACCGTATCACCACGCATGTGGCGTCAATGACAAAGATGCCTTCCCCAGGAGCCGGGGCCCGCGAGCTTCGGGGCAGGGTGTGGGCGCGGCGGGTCGCCTTCCAACCTCCCAGAGCCTCGGGTCCCTCCCCTTCTCTCTGACCCGGGAACTCTCTCCATCCCGTGCCTCCTGGAGCCCACGGTCTGGGGAGGGTCTGGCTACGGTGCGGCGGCTGCTTTTTAGGGGAAGGAATCCAACATTTGGGGAGCCAGATATGTTCCCTTCCTTCTTTCCCTTCCCTCGAGCCCTTGAGGTGGTGCCCGGACCTGGGGGCGGGACGCGGGGACCTGGGGGTTGCAGGTGTAGACCCCGCAGGAGCTGTCTCCGTGCCTGGGCCGCCAGGAGCGTCGGCCTGGGAACGACTGCCGCTGCCACTGTTGAGGCCAGCAGCAGCTAGGCCCGAGCTTTTCTTCGAGGACCCCTTGCCAGACTCCGGCCTCGGCCTAGCGGGTGCACAGCCTGGAGATCCCCCTAAGAGACCCCGCCCCGGTCGGAGACCCCAAGCCCCGAGGACGTCCCGGTAGATCCGAGGATCCAGCCTCTTCTTCGCGCGCCCTCCCTCAGTCCTGGCTGGGGTCGGAGCTGGGGCGGAGGAGGTGGGCACCTGGGAGAGCTGGGGGCCTCGCTTCGTCCCCAAGGTCCTGTGGGGGCCTTCGTAAGAAGGTGGAGCCACGTAGGGTGGCGGCTGGTCCCAGCGGCGTCGCGGGGCAGTGCCTGCAGCGCCTCTCAGCAGCAGGTGAGCCTCGTAGCTGGGGGGCCCAGGCCGGCGACCTCTCCAGGGCCCCGCCCACACCGCCCCTGGGTCGCTCTGCGGTTGCACGGGTGGACGGGAGGCTCTCCCCACCTGCCCGAAGCGCTCGGGCTCCGGCCGAGGGGGCCCTGGGAGCCCTGCCGGCTGGGCCGCCCGAGGGCCGTTCCGGGGCTCCTGGCGGGGCTGGCCCAGAGGGCTCCGTCGGGCCCCACCAGCCTTGCGCCTTTTTCGTTCTGTCTCCTTGGCCTCCTGCTCCTGCGACGCTGCTTTCCTTTTCTCTTGCTCCCGGGCTCGGACCTCGGCTGGGGGCCCCGCCCGCCAGTTGGTCGCCTCCTGCAGCACCCTGGAGGCCCAGGGCCGGCGGGGAGGCTGCTCAGGGGATCCCGGGCGCGGCCTACACCTGGGACAATGAGCAGGAACCCAGGTGAGCAGTTTGTGGGGGAAAGGGGCCGAGGTCTGGGGAGCTGGGAGCACTGGAGACCACTTGGGACCCCCCTGTGATGGGGCATGTGAGAGCGTGTGCGCGTGTGCACTCGCGTCTGTGTTAGGGGTGTCGTCGAAGTGGGACTTCTCCCCATCTCGCCATGCACACGTTAACCGCGCCTGCCCCATCTTACCTCTTGCCCTTTTCTCACACCCACCCCATCCCTCTGAACAAGGTTCAATGAGTCAGGCCCCAGCCCCCCAGCGTGGGGGAGGGAGGCGGCGGGAAAGAGCAGGGGAACCAGCAGTGTTTGCTGGTGCCTGCTGGGAGGTCCGACCCCGCTCCCCACCCACCAATTGTTTCCCCTCACCCCTGCACTCACGTGCGGCTCTGGGACCCACGGGCCCAGAGGCTGGCTTGGAAGTCCATGGGCTGTCGAGAAGGAGGAGCGCGGCGACTGTAATGACAGGAAATAGTCTTCACTTCGATCACCAACAGCTTGGACTTCTGCACCCAGAGGCAGCTGCCAGACTCCTCATCTTGGAGCTCCCGGGGGCTGTCGGGCCCCTCGGAGAAGAGCGGGCCATCCA